GCTATGCGAACAGTGCTGGATCAAGTCGCTGGAGAAGAAGGGCATCGAGGCCCCTCTGGCCGGAAACAAAAACCTCTGCGCCAAGAAGTCGCCACAGAGCGCCTCCAGGAGCACAAGCGCAGACTGGACGAGGCTCGCTTTCGAAGGAGAGCCCGTGCCCTCCCCCCTTGGATCGGCAACCATTCGGGCGTGGGCAGCCGACCGCCGCGCTGCCCCCCACCTGCCTGGGCGACCTCGTCATGCGCACCCCGCCCGCCGATCGGCCTCAGAAGGTCGGCGCCGCCCTCCCGGCTCCCAGCTCGCAAGCTGTCGGACGGCAGGTTCGGGCCAGACTCGCGCCGCACGGGCACCTACACCGCCATGTGCGACACCTGCCCCCCGGGGTCGCCACTGCTCGTGCGGGCGGAAGGCAGCCCCGCGCTCGGCTGCTTCACGTGGCGCCCGGAACCCGGTGCACCGCGCGACGAGCAGACAGGGCCCCCGCCATGGGGCGCTATGCCCACGCTCTGGACACAGCAGCAATGGAATGCAGGCTGGGCCTGCAGGATATGTCTCATCCACATCTGGAATGTGGCACCCGGTGCCCTCGACCGCATTTGGGGCCTGCACTCCTCCGAGGCGCGCCCCCCCACCCCCCCCACCCGCCCCTGCTAAGCGCGCAGCAACAGCAGAAGTGCACGAGGAGAGCTACGACATCAGCGTCCACCTCCCCCCAACAGGCGCCAATGCAGCGGCGAAGGGCGCCTATTCAAGGCCATCGGCCCCAACGGGCGAGTCCACCTCCAGCGACATGGAGCTCAGCAGTCCAGCAGGACAAGCCGGCGAGACAATCTGGGTCGGTCGTGACAGCAACTCCGCGTTTCCCAACTTGGGCCCACCCGCGTGTCCCGCCCTGCCAACCCTATCCACCTACAGGCTCGCCGGGGTGGAGTCCGACGGCCCCGTCCACGCCCTGGTGAAGTACCTACTGGAGTGGAATCACTGTCTACCTTTGCTGGGCCGGCTTCGTGCAGCAGTACGGCGAGGGCATCCCAAGCGACAGAGCCGATGAGACGTTGTGGCCCGCAGCGCGCCTGCCCCCCTTCCTGGGAATGATCTACGGGGACTCGATCCCAGCCAGCTGCCACCCCCCAATCACCCCATGGGGCGGGCAGCGGGCTGCAGCGGCCAGGGTGGCACCCCACCTAACGGGTAGAAATGAAAAATGCCGGGGGGAATGGGGCCGCTGCGCTGCTGGCCTTGCTGAGCAGAAAGGTCAGTGCCCCTTCCGACAGCGGATCGGCACTCTGCTGGCGTTCCTTGCGGAGATTGACTCCACTGCACTGGCCTGGGGGGCCATCGCCCTCCTTTCCACCCGCGACCCGCGCGAGACAGCCACGGGCGCCCCAGCTGGGGCTGAGTCGCCGGCAGCCACCTGGCTCAACAGGGCTGTCGGAGCGGGGGCCCCCCCTTCAGTGGACAACCGCGGAGGCGCGCAGGAGGGCCCCCCTTCCCGCGCTACAAGAGCGCACCCCCATGCCGCCGGGGCAGAAGGGGGGCGCGCCCCTCAAGCAGAAGGGGGGGGCTCCTGCTGGACAAACGTGCAAGAACGAGGGCGAACTAACGACGGGGTCGACTGGGGCGGGGGGGCAGACAAGAAAAGCGAGTCCGACACCCTCGAGGAATCAAGCGCGGAGCCCAGTCCAACCCCGACGGCTGGTGACCAGGAAGAAGAAATCCACGACCCCCTCAGGATCTGGTCGGCACCACCCGACAGGGTCACCTCAGAGGCCTGGCCCCCTTACGAACAGGCCGCTTCCAGGAACGCTGCCCGCGCTGCCAGGAACATGCCGGAGGGCCCGCGAGGAGGAGACAACCCAGCAGGGGCCATCCACGACGCCAGGGGCGACAGGTCCCTCAGGCGCGCGACCGGCGACAGGGGCCGCCAGCGACCCGTGCGCGGCGACGCCAGGGATGGGGATCGCCGCGCCGCCAAGTCCCCAAGAGGCGACCCAGCCCGGCCACGCATAGTCCAGGCACCCTGGAGAGACGCACGAGAAACGCAGCCACCCCGAGGCCATCCGAGCGACCCCATGGGGGGCACCCCCGTGTATATGTGCCCGGTCGAGGAAGCTGATGTTACGAAGGACGAACCGATACAGGAGAAGATGCTACGCCTGCAGAGGACGCTGGGAGGAGCGCCCACTGGAGTCTGGGTCGCATGGATGAGGGGGGGCGCCGTGGGGCGGGGAGCCATCGGGACTGACAAGCATGGCCCCAGGCGGAACACCGCGCAGCTGCGCGGCGAATTTCTCCAGGCATGGGGAAGCGCAGGGTATGGCGCATGCAAGATGGACAGAGACCTAGGGCTCAACGTCGATTGGCCAACGGTCAAGGACAGACATAGCAAGCCCCTGCAACGCGAGCCCAGACCCCACGCGCAGCGCGGGCCCGACAGCAGCAGCGGCCCCGCCTCATGGACTAAAGAAGGCAAGAGAGCGACAGAGGCGGCCTCGCAGGAGCAATGGACTGGTGCATCCGGCTCCGCCAACCCGCGGCAGGGATGGCAGGAATGGGTTTCCTGGAGCCACCAGGGCGCACCGTGGACAGATACTGATACTGACTGGAAAGCGAAAGGCAAACGTTACTCCCCCAGGGGAGACGACCCATGCACCGACAAGCGCGCGCGTTGGCGGGGCTGACTTGACTAGTGTGCCAAGGGCACGCAGGGATGGGCCCGCCCGACGGAGTGCCCCCTGCTCCCCCAGCTCGGCGGCGGCGACACCCCCTCAGGCGCTCGCCGCTCTCCCCCGCCGGGGTCGGTTTCACCTTGCAGCGCCCGGCCGTGGCCGCAATGCCCTGGGCAACTCCCGCGGGGGCGGGGGTGTCCCAACATCTCACCCAAGGCGCTGCGTAGCTAGACAGCCCACACTGGATAATTGGACCTTGCCTGGCCACCTCACTCCCCCCTGCGGCCGGCGGGGGTGAGCCTGCAGGCCCTGCCGGCCCAAAGCCAACAGCTGCCCTCTACGGCGGCTGACTGCTCTGTTGGGGACTGGGGACGGCCGCAGATGCGCCCCCGCGCTGCGCACCCTTTGCTGTCTCTCTCGACAGCCACTTTGGTTGGCCGGGGGCGGTTGACTGGAATAGTCCCCCCTTGCGCACCACTCTGCTGGCGGCGGTCTGTGTGCAGCCCACACCACCCCTCCGTCTTCGGCTCTGTGCGAGCTGCTTCCATGACGTGTTTCATTGCGGCCGTTGGCTGCACCCCCCCTCCAACCGACACGTGTGTTCACTGCGGCTGTTGGCTGCACCCCCCCCTCCACCGCATGGTCAGATTCAGCCTTGGCTGCGTTCCAGCGCTCCATGAGGTGGTCGCGGCAGCTGCGAATCTCGGCGACAATCGTGACCGGGACCTGCGAGGTTGCAGTCTATCGGCCCTTGGGCCAGCGTGTCCTCTCTCATCGTTGCAGCCCCGGCCAGCCACTGGTGTCGGATACGATGAACGACACACCGGCCCCCCCCCGGGCAGCGGTGCGGTCCGTGGAGTGAGTGCTCTGTAGGTACTTGCCGTTCCCCTGCTCTCTCTGTGGTCAGATTCAGCCCTGACTGCGCTCCAGCGCCTATGAGCTGGCCGCGGCTGCAGCGTACCTCGGCGACCTTCGGCCGTTACCCGCTAGGCGGCAGCCTACTGGCCGGGCCTGCGTGTCCTCTTTCATCGTTGCTTCCTGGCCTGTCATTGGTTTCGGAATCGATGGCTGACACACCGGCCCCCCCCCCGGGCAGCGGTGTGGATGGTGGAGTGAGAGCTCTGTAGGTCCCTGCCGTTTTTCTGCCCCTGTCTTAGCCGACCCCGCGTACGGCGGTGGGACGGACTTCGCGCTGAGTGGTTCAGCCTCAGCGTGTCGTTTCGGTTATACCTGCCCGCTTTCGGCTAGGAAAGCTGCTCGGAGTTTGGCGCCGTCAGGGCGACTTCTCCGTTGCACTGCACTGCGGTCTGCTTCACTTCGGGATGGCTGGCGCCTAGGTGCGTTCGCCTTAATGCGGAGCATTTTGCTCAATGCATGTGCACGCCACGCATTCTTTGCGAATTAGCCTCGTACCGTGACCCGGACGCCGCTTCCGTTCCCTGTCCGTTGCCTGGGAGTTGCCGACCAAAAAAGCAGGGCTACCATCCCTAACGAAAAACAAAACAACATACACTTCGCGGCCAAACCTGGATCATGCCCCGCCACCCCGCGATCACTGCCAAGTAGTTTTTTGACAGGGGCGGCGGGGGTGGTGGCGCATGGCCTGCTGTGCGCAAGCCCACTAGGCACAATGATGGGCGTTGGTTTTGCTGTTGTATGCGCATGCGCGCCTGGCACCCTCCGCACTTGCCCCGAACGTGACGCACCTGGCGCGGCTGGAGTATACGGCACACCTGGCGCACGCGGAGCACGTGGCGCATCTGGCGCACCAGGCGTGCCTGTCACGCTCGGGCCCCAGGGGTGCCTGGCGCGCGTGGCGCGCCTGGCACGCGTGGCGCACCTCGCCCCAAAGTCGCGCACATGGGGTCGGTTGTGGTTCCCAGTAGCTGCCCATCCAAAGACTACCGCTGAACGCGCTGCGGCTCGGGTGCTACTTATGTGTTGGGAGGGCGATTGGGAGTGAGCGAGACGGCTTGCTATCTAGGAGGGTGTCTTGACCCCTGAACCTACACCCGTAGGTCTCAACAGGGGGTGGGCGGCGGGTAGTTAGAGCGTCCAAGATGGCCCCCGCGAGAAGGCACGAACCATTGATACTCGAAAGGTTTTGGCTAATGCTGGCCTGCGGGCTGACTGCAGTGAAAAGGAATGCTTGTAGGAACTTGCCAGGAGGGGACTTGGGGCGGGAGGGTGAACTGCAGCATCGTTGGTGCACACTGGCTGTGCTCTGCTCCTCCTCATCATGTTTCCTCCTCCTCCTCCTCATCATCATCATCATCGTCACCATTGCACATTATCATCTCGGTCGGAGACGGTCCCAATCGGAGCCAGGGCCTGCAGGGATCACCGCGGCCGCAGTGGAGCCAAGCGGCGCCGGCTGCGAAGGCAGGGACCCACCCTGCGGGGAGCACTCTCGTCGTCGTCGCCGTCGTTACCTTCGCACTATCCTCCCCCATTCCGTCCCCTCGACCGCCACGTACTCTGCATGCTCTTCCTCCTCCTCCTCCTTCTCCTCCTCCTCCTCCTCCTCCTCCTCCTCCCCTCCTCCTCCTCCTCCTCCTCATCCTCCTCCACATCACCAGCAGCGTCTTCTTCATATTATTCATCATCAACGTACTCGTCATCACCATCATCAGCATCATCATCAGCATCATCATTAGCCTCATCATCATCAGCATCAGCATCATCATCAGGACCATCATCAACACAATCATCACCAACATCATCATCAGAAGCATCATCATCATCATCCTCACCATCCTCACCATCATATCATCATCATCATCATCATCATCATCATCATCATCATCATCATCAGCAGCAGCAGCAGCAGCAGCAGCAGCAGCAGCAGCATCAACATCATCCGCCTTCTTCCTGAAATGCCCACTTCGTCCACGTCATCCTCATCATCCGTGCTCACACCGTTTCGCCTCGCTCCCTTTTGCGGCTCCCTTCCTCCTGCTTCTGGCGTCCTTCGTTGTGTAATCATCCTCGGCTCCGTGGGCTCTCCTGGCAGGGCCCTCCGCATGGCCAGGGCGGCTGCATGGCGCCGATCGGCACCTCGGCACCCCTGCTCACCCCGCGAACTTCCCACGGCAATGTCAATTCAGACTTCTTCGACGGGAGACCCTCGTCATGAATACCAGATCGATTATCTATCCCCTGTCTATCGTCGAGGAAAAGCATTGGGGGAGGGAGGACGCTTGGATTGCTGAGTCGCACGGAATCCCCTCACTTCAAGCCACCAGTCAACCCCAACAAGGCTGCGCATGGCAATGCCATGCATGAGCGACTGTGCGACCTTGTGCGGGCCACCCCGCTGGAACTCCACAGGTTGGCCGGCGGCAAACCGGGACCAGACTGGAGGCGAACGATCTGCGTGCACCAGCCCAAGTTGCAACCCAACGCCAGCAACGTGCAATGGGCATTTCCTGCTGCTTACCCCAGCAGAGAAAAGGCTGGCCACGTCCACGGGGGCCATCCGCATCGAAGGACACTGCGGACAGTGCGGACACTTGGCATGATGATGACGGTAGTTGCACTGGTGATGTCAACAATGGCGATGACGACAACAGTGTCGCCGGCAACGGCGAGGACGAACCTCATCATGGTACTACGATGGCTGCGGCGGCGACGGTGGTGGCAGCGATGACGATGGGGATGGTGATATGGTAATGATGGTGGTGATGGTGATGATAGCAGACATGATAAGCCACCGATCTGGGTTCAACGAGTGCCGAAACACGCCGTCGAAAGTGCAGCAGCAACGGGCCCAAAGACAGCAAACACAGGGTCCAAGACAGCACCGGTTTCGCGATTTCGCACGACCCCAGCGCCGTCGTCGCTGCCCAAGGCTTCCTTCCCTTTTGCGCAAGCGCGCCAGGAATTAAAGGTTGCCTGGCGCGTGCCGATCTTCACGCGGCCACATTGGGTTATAGATTACTGCGCGTTGATAGTGTGTTGGTTTATTGCTATGGCTCCTGACCTGGGTGCTTTCACGAACCAAGGGATGCGGACACCCCACCCCGCAATCTCTCGCATGTTGCTGGGATGTCTGCACGCCTCCTCAGCGCGGCACCCCGAGGGTGCAAGCTGTCATCAGCAACTTGCTTCCCTGAAAGCGGGAGGGTTCCAATGCATCGTCGGGTGATCAGTCCGATCCAGGCTGGAGCCGGAACAATCAAAGCATGCCTCTCAACACGCGCTATACGGGTGTATGTGCGATGCCGCCTGCAGCTATATCTCCTAACGGGCTGTGTCCAACAGCCTCGCGCCAACTCAACTCACTGATCACTGTGTGCGGGAGTCTGTCTATCCCCACGAATGCGCACGAAACGGGGCCGGGTGCGATCCCTGGCGCGCGTGCAGGGGGCCTGGCTCCCTTTCTCCTCGCTGCGAGTGGGGCTCGGCTCAACCTGCACGCCTGAGTCCGACAGGCGGGCAGGCTCACGGCGCCCCCCACGGCGCTCCTTCACCGCGCGCGTCTCGTAGAGCACGCCCACTGCGAAGCCCGCGGCGATCAGGGTGATCGTGCCGTAGGTCTCCGTCTGGCTCGCACCCGCCGCGCAGGTGCCGTCCACGACCGCGACCTGGACACCCTTGCTGGAGCCCGCGTCCGATCCGTTGGCGGCCCGAGCCGCTGCGCGCAGCAACGGCGGCGCCAGGACCTGGCTGGCCCCGTCCACCCCGAAGCCTGCCGCGATCCTGCCCACGATGCCGAGGTTCCTCATGCAGGTCCTGCTCAAGCGCCTTCGTGCCTGCATTTCTCTGGTTCTTCGTGTCGCCGACTCGATCGATCTCGAACTGCTTCTCCCTGTGCCTGCTGGCGCCAAAGATAACGCGTCTCTAGGCGCCGTGCGCGCCCGCAGCCCACTCTGCGGATCTCGCCGCGAGCCGCGTCCGAGTCCGCGCGGGTGGCCAGCTGCACGTCTGCTGGCAACCCACCATCACCTGCTTGACCGTGATCCCCCACGCCGTCGCCGGGCCGATCGCGCAGCACTCCGACTCCGCGCTGCTGAGCGCAACGGCGCCCTGGGTGATGCCCCAGCTCTCGATGAGATGGCCAGCGCCGGGGTCTCCGACCTGGATCGCACCTGCCGACGTACCCTTGCACGTCAGGACGTCGCCGCTCCATTCGCCGTCGGAGTGGGCCACGCTTTCGTTCCACGATGCCTGGTAGAGGAACTCGACGCCGGCGTCATCCGCCCCCGCGAAGTAACGCGCCGGCCGCCTGAGCCTCAGCATGCTCAGACGCGTCGGGCGCGCCATGTCTGATGCCAGCTGCTTCGCAGCGAACTGGATGTCGAAACGGTCTGGCCCGATGTACATGCAGATGCCCGTGCCCCAGCAGTAGATCGCCTTCTCGGCGCGCTTCAGCTCCTCGACTGCATATGGTGCGTCCTTGCCAGTCGCTCGGCTGGTAGGCGTCGGGGATGGCTTCGCACCCTCCAGGTCCAGCAGCGTGCTCAGGCTCTCGAAATGCTTCGGGTCAGACAACAACATGAACCCGTTCGGGCTCTACAGCAGAAGCCGTCGTAAAACCAGGCCTTTGTCCTTGGCGGCTGGCCCAACCCTCGGGGGGAGCTTGGCCTTGAAGTTCCCCGCGATCATGGCGCCCGCCTTGTCCAGCTGCTGGGGCTCGCCCTCGGTGCGGAAGTCGGCATCGTGAAACCCCGGCGGGCATTCCCTCTCGCTGTGGTACGCCAGGCAGGGGGCAGTCGACAGGGTGTCCCAGCCGTGCTCTCGTCCCGCGCATCCCGTGTAGCGCCTTGCTCGCGAGCCAGAGCCAGTCGGGGCAGCTCAGTCCCTTCGGCGGCTCGGCCCAGACGACCTCCTTCAGCTGCGCGTGGAAGAATGCCACCGAGATATCATGCGACGCGAGCTGCCTTGACTCTCCACGTGATGCCAGCCTCGAGATCACCAGCTTCAGCGCCCACGTCGGCGGTGTCCCTGCGCAGTGCTCTGATGCGAAGACGCCTCCTGCGAAACCTCGTGCGACGATCCGTGATCGCACGCAGTCTGGCCCCTTCTGTGCGTGGCAGAGCTCGGTGGAGATCGCCCTCTCGCTGGCTGGCTTCTCGCCGCGCCTCTCCCAGACCACCGCCTCGAACCGTCACCTCGAACCCCCCCGTCTCGTCAAGCTCGCGCTCCACGCCCTCCAGCGCCACCTCCTTCGGGAGGACATCGCCCGCGTGCTGGTCGCGTAAGCGGCCCGCAAACAACCCTTCGTCGAAGGTCGGGGCCAGGGCCTCCTCCTCGCAGAACGCGCCGAGATTCATGGCCTCGGCCTCTGGGTCGGTGTCCATGGGCGTAGCGGGGGCCACGTCGATGACTGGCCTCTTTCTCGCTGGCTCTCCGTCGTGGACTGCGTCGCCTTCTCGCTTCGGACCGCTGCCCGTCGGCAGTTCCAGCCCTGGGGGTGGGCCGATGCCCCGTGGCTGTCCTGGCGGGCTCGCGGGTCCCGGGTCTCCTCCTGGTGGCCCTGTTTTCGGGCCTCCGGCGCTGCCTGCGCCAGTCGCCCACTGCGTCTGGATCAGCTGCTCAGCCTGCTTCTCGATGGTCTCCTCACAGCGAGCCCTGCGCGCGATCGCGCGTGCTTGACGGCCCCGGACAGGCCGTGCGTTCAGGGCTCTCACCGTGCTCCTGGATCAGGGCGCGAGCGATGCACCTCCGCCTCGCGCTCGCCACTGGGGTCTCCGTCGTCGGGGCCCTAGGGTCCAAGGGCGCGCCGATGAACGTCCTGAACTCCTCCTGGATCCAGCGCTCGCTGTCGTCGCGCCTCTTGAACGACCTGGTGAACTCGATCGTTCGACCCGCGCCCGCGACGACCACGCCACTCGCGCCCCTCCGCCCGAGGAACTCTCCTGAGGCCAAGCGCGGGTCGAGCTTCGACTGGCCCCTGCGAATCAGCTTCAAGTCCACCGTCTCGCCTACGCACGCGAGATGCGATGTGAACTCCCCGCCCCGCGTCGTCGCCCAGGCACTCCGCCCGTCACTCTTCAGGGCGAATACTGCGATGACGTGCGTCGAATGGCTGACGAACCTCGGGGGGTTCACCGACTGGCTCGCCACCTCGGTCTTGCGCTTGTCCTCGACGACGGCCGCGCGGGCGTGAGCGGGCGACTCCGCTCTGCACGCCGCCACCTCGATGCCGCCATTCGCCTTGCTGTCGTGCTTCGTGGACTTCTCAACCGCAGTGCGATGATGCTCGGCTCGACGCCGGCGTAGCTCTCCGAGCAACGCCTGGGCGGCTGGCCCCTGGTCTGCCCTCAGCACGACCTCTCTAGCACCCCGCGCCTCGAGGTAGAAGTGCACGAACTCGACCGCAACGTCTTCGACCCCCTTCTTTGCCACCTGCGTCGCCCCCACGGCGCCAGAGGGCCTCGGCGCGAAGACCAGCGCCGTCGCTTTCTGCAGCTCCCCGTGGCGCGCCTTGAAGCAGTAGTCCAACGCGAGCATCGCGACCGCCCCCTCGCCCCCCGCGCCCTCCGCGCTACCGCGTGCAAGCCGAGCCGCTTCTGCGACTCGTCTCGACGTCGTTCGGATAACGTGCCTGCGCCTTTCCGAAGTCCTGCAACTGCTTGGCGGCGCTCCCGCGGGCGACCTGCAGGCCCTCTGCTTTCGCCATCTGCTTCTGAGGGATGTTGCCCGCCATTCCCTGGGCGTCAGCCTCAATGGCCGTCGCGGCGAGATCCGCGAGCGCAGCGTTCGATTTGGGGGTCGACTTTTCCGGCCACGGGCTGACTGAATCCGACCGCGGCTGGGGCCGTGGAGCGATGATCGCCTCGGCATCTTGCACTGCAGGCGCCCCGCCCGGGTTCGCCTTCGACCTTGGCTGTGGCTTTCGGCTCGGCCGCCCCCCCCCCCCCCCCTCAGCCCGCCCCTTCCCAATCGCGTGGCGTCCTCGCTCCTCTTGGAGGGGGCGCGCTCGGGGCGCCAAATCATGACCTTCCCCGCCACCTCGCCGACGACCTCGGTGGTGTTCTTCATGATCATATCCCACTCCGCCTAGCCATTGTTCTTCTTCAAGATCATCTGCGTCGCCCTCCTCCATGTCTTGCATCTTGGCGGCGGCGCCCAAGCTGAAGGTCATCCTGCGCGACTCGCCGATGCAAGCGACATGCGAGGCTACATGTTTGAGCTTGTCTCCCATAGGACCCTCGGCATCCTCACGCAGCTGTTTCTTCTCCTCAGCGGACAGGCCCCTGACGCCTTCGGCGAGCGCGGCGTCGTTGCAAATGAGCCTGACCAACTTGTTGCGCGTCTGGTTGCACTCGTCGCAGCGGAGCTGGGTTTCCCCGTCTGGGCAGCGTGGGGCGGCGGGTTCAGTCCCAAACTTGAGCCGCGCGTGTCTTTGGAGTCCCGAAACGGTGCGGTGACTGACCACGCGGTGACCTCGAAACCTCCCAAGACCTCACCGCCCCGTCCGTCGACGCGCGGCTTTGGGATTTCAAGCGCCCAATGGGTCGCCCGAGACGTCCCCGGAGAACGACCCGAGTCCCGAAACCGCGCGGCGACCCCAAATCCCCGCCGACTCACCGAGCGGCGCGGTCGCTCCTTCATCGCACCCGGTAGGGGGAAGAGGAGGACGACGGGAGGCGGATGGGTGACGACGACGACCAGCGCATCTGCGGAGCGGCTATCCTGCTCACACTGGCGACGGCGTTCGCGAGAAGGAAAAGTTCCCAGCCCGAGGCGGCTTGCGGCGAGGACCAGGACAAGACAAGCACAAGGACAATGAGAAGGTCCTGAAGTCACTCGCGGAGGTGAGGACATGGCGGGCCCAGTACGAGGAAGATGGCCGGACGGCCTAGCTCATCGCCCTGAAATGGTCGGATCAGGGCGTCGAGGAACACTGGCGGTGGCGGCCGCCTGGCTGGGGCAAGCACAAGGACAAGGACTCCGACAAGGACAATGACTCCGACGAGGACAAGGCCATGGACTCCGACAGTAACAAGGCCAAGGCCAAGGACCCCGACGAGGACAAGGACTCCGATCAGAACAAGGCCAAAGACGAGGGCGGCGACGAGGGCGCGGAGCTAGAGCCAGCCAGCAAGAGAAGGCGCTGGGCTGATCCAGCCCCCGAGCCCGGAGCCCAGCCCGACGCCGATAGGGAGGGCCATGAGGCTATAGTGCTATAGGGCTACAGGGCTATAGGGCTATAAGGCAATTGGGCTATAGGGATATATAAGGCTATCGGGCAATAGGGCTGTAAGGCTAGAAAGTTAAATGGGGCCGTAGGGCTGTAGGCCTATAGGGCTATAGGGCTATGGGGCTATAGGGCTATGGGGCTATAGGGCTATAGGGCTACGGGGCCATGGGGTTATAGGGCTATAGGGCTGTAGGGCTATAAAGCTATGAGGCTAGAGGGCTATGGGGCTATAGAGCTATAGGCTATAGTGCTATGAGGCTATAGGGCTATAGGGCTGTAGAACTGTAGGGCTATAGGGCTATAGCGCTATAGGGCTATCGGGCTATATGGCTATTGGGCCATGGGGCTATAGGGCTATGGGGCTATAGGGCTATAAAGCCATAGGGCGATTGGGCTCTATGGCTATAGGGCCATGAGGCTTTTGAAAACTATTAGGGCTCTAGGGCTAGAAGGATACTGAATCCCGGGCTGCCCGGAAAAATCCTCTCTCGGATACATCCGAACAAGCCAAACACGTGAAAAAATGGGATGGATCCGTCTGATTGCTTCTTCGTTTGGCCTCCGATGTGGGATGAATGCGGTCGAGCCGCCGAAGGCGACAGGATTGAGGAGGAATATAAGGAGGGGGACGAAGAGGTTGAAGCAAAGGATGAGGAGGAGGCACCCACACCCCTTCGCACCGC